GTCCCCCAGCTTCCTAATGAGAATGGGGTGAGAGACAGTATCAAAAGCCTTCCTGAAGTCTAGGAAAACTATATCCACTGCCACCCCTGCATCCAATGATTTAGTGACCTGGTCGTAAAAGGCCACCAGGTTGGTCTGACAGGACCTGCCGCTGATGAACCCGTGCTGGTTGCCCCTGAGCATGCCGTTCCCTGCTGACCCCTCCTGGATGCGTGCCAAAATAATTTTCTCGAACAGCTTGCCCAGGATCGAGGTAAGGCTGACTGGTCTGTAGTTCCTCAGGTCCTCTTTTCTCCCCTTTTTGTAGATGGGAACCACGCTGGCCCTCTTCCAGTCCTCCGGCACCTCTCCAGAGCACCACGAGTATTCATAAAGTTCTTAAAGAAGCTACTGTATTTAAAGGAGCTACTTTACACTTCAATACAGTATACAGTATATATATAGATTTGGAGCATCCTTGGGTGGTCTATGCCTCTAATATACCCTGGCATAGTTCAAAAGAAGGATCACAAGTAGCCATGACAAAACAAAGAGCTGAAACAAGGCAATTATGTTTAATATCTGTACGAGACAAGAGACTACAAGAATGAAAGATTCCTGGGTTTTTTCTTCACAACATCAACTTCATGGGTACTGGTATATACTAATAGCTATCTGAAATATTTAGTTCTCCCCCCTCATACACATATACTCTCATTATTGATCTGTTCCTGTTAATGACTTATCTATCTGCTCTGTCAGCAAAGAATTGCTTTTGGTTTTGTATTTAGTCATATTATATACTGTTAGAATTGGAGATTCCCTTCTATTCCTAGATATTACGTTTCCCTACCATATTACTACTTTGGGTGCTAATCCTGATAATGGTTTTTCCCTTCTCATTTCTGAGTGATACATAATCACTTTGCTTTCAAAGACGGATTTTCATTTCGTAATTTTAAAAAATGCCCATTCCTCTCTCCTAGAACTAGTTAATGTTTAAGATTTGCAGAATTACACAATATTACACAATTACTAGCAATGCTGATATTTAAACCTCAATCTTTGAAAAGTGACCATGGAAGAGATTTACCATTCACAAAGTATCTGTCAACTCAGGTAAGCTTTTGCATAAGGTCATATAATATTGTTTGCTATAAATTTCAAGCACTGCAGCTAAATAATAGCCTGAAAAAGGAAGTGCTCTAAGACAGCAGTTACACATGCATCAACAAGAAAACCCTACACTTTCAAAAGGAAGTACATTTACTAGAAGATAATTATATTAGAAAATTAACGTTTTCTAAGCCCAAGAAATCATTACAAGGATAATGGACTGTATCCTGCCAAAGAAAACAAATTGTTCTGATACTGAGGTCAGCACTGGTGATAAGAACTACCTGAAGCAGGTGATTGCGAGTCACTACATGACCTGTATAAGTATAGTAAAAAAAAAAGTCAGCCTAAATTTATCATCATTGCCTACTGTACTAAAACAGGATGAAGTGTTACAAATGATCTTATAGTTCTAAAAAAGAATCAGTAGTTTTCCTGCAACTGGCAACTGAGTTTGATAAAATACTCTGTCCAAGTACATGAATGTTATGAATCAACAACAAAGATTCTGTCCTAGAAAATGCTAGATTTTCTTCGGTTATAACTACTGGGAGTGCAAGTCACTGCAGTAGGAATGAGAGCATCACATCATGGAGCACAATACACTTACATTTTCTTCTTCAGTTTCTTGTACAAAGAAAGCTTCTCCATTGTCACCCAGCTTCATATGAAGATCAACAGCATCTCCATTAATTTCTATATCAATCTATGGAAACAAAAACAATTTACCATGGAACATCCTCCACGTGAAGAGATAGACAAATATTGAGCTGAAGATTTAATCCTGATATATTGGTATTAGACTCCCATCATTCTTTTTAAACCAACAACACTCCACCAGCAGTACGC